TCATGGTGTATGGGAAAAGATAGGTCTGCACAAGCTTTTGCTCAGCCTGATTCTTTTCTTCATTTGAGCTCATCCCAAAGCTGCACAGTCTGACTCTGTGAATGGAGAAAAGAAAAGATGTCTGGGTGATGAAATATTCAGCAGTGGGCGTCATTGTTTGTTTATTCTCTTGTTACTGTAGTACTGTGTTACAAATATACCTCATGAGCCACTGTACCTGTCTGTCCTTCCTCTCATTTACTCCAAAGTCCCAGTGTGCCTGTGCGGTTGCGGCTAAAAACTTTATCCCCGTCTTCATTAGCTACAATTGCACAGCGAGGTTTCCTGCCTGCAGGGTCCACAGGGCCCCCAGACACTGCCGCAGAGGCCTCCAGGGGCCACAGGAGCCAGGCTGCACACTGTCGGTCTACAGTCTGTTCTCCAGTTGTGACAGCGAACGCATCCTTATGATGACAATTAGTGGCTGTTAGAGAGCACAGATGAGCGGGAGAGGTAGGAACAGGGGGGGAGGAAGATAGGGGGAGGAAAAGAGAAGGTGGGAGAGGAGGGAGGGGCAGGTGGTGCAAAAAGCAGGACACAATTAACAAACATGGGAAAAATACCCACTAATGAGGATAGGCGAAGCTCAGGGGACGAGGTGAGACGGAGGGGTGAGGGATTATGACTTTAACTCTAACATGGGATTGAGGGGGGGCAGGGGTGACAACATATGAGGTTGACTGACTAAGATGAGACATTTACTCTTATAATGGGTCTTCACAGGTGTGTGGACGCATAATTTAGGACCAGATTTATAACTTTACAAACTAATGGAGTCAAACCTTATCTATAAGACTACAGTGGCAGAATGTTACATAATCACATTATTTTCAGCACAAAAATAGACGTGGATCTATCCTGGACTCCCAGTGATGTTGGATCAGTCTCTCGGGAATATTTCAAGTTTTAATGACTCATTTAGGAGCAGACACTCTGTAAACATTTTGGCCTGAAGAATCACCTGTGTCATTAAGAGACATCTGTTTACGCTGGAAAAAGGCTTGTTACCTGGACTGTTAGGGAAGGATTAACACAACTCTAATGACACAATATGCTGAAACTGAAAGGACACAATACAGATCAAAAAGCTCAGTCTACTTCGAAAAGTTCCCTGTCTCTGCAGAGCTGAATGATCTCGTTTTTGTAGTTTTAAAAGTAATTTTTGACTTCTATATTAAGACTTGTTACAGACACCACACGTTTTGGCCTGTTATAATTACAGTAGATCGCAGCACTGAACTTACTGACTGTAGAAGAGAGTAGGGTGAGTTTCGTTTGTTTTTACTTGAGGTTTAGTAAGAGTCGACAGTTATATCATTAACTATAAATGCCACACATATTTCAGGACAAAGTGTATCTCTAGGGTTAATCACTTAAGTTCTGAAATCAATTCAATATAGGTTTAAAACTGTTTATATTGTATATGTGTAAAGATGGCGGACATGTGCAGAAAGAACACTGATCAGAACGCCTTTAACTTGGGACAGTATTAATTTTGACTGCCTCATGAAAGGTTTATACTACCAACTAAGTGTGATTTAATTCAGTTTCAGACAGTTTCCTCCAAACAAGGCGTTGAAAAAGTAGGGTGACCATATTCTGACTTCCCAAAAAGAGGGCACAACTACATGGGGGCAGAGTCACGGAGTTGCACAAAGTTAATTTTGAGAGTTTTTCGGGTTGAATCAAGTGTCTTTTGCACGCCTCTAACTCAGTAAATCTACCTGAGACAAACTTGAAACTTCCGTACAAAACTGTGGACATTTGAAGGATTTTGTAAACTTCCCCTGAAAAAGCCAGACAGCCCCTAAAAAGAGGACATGTCTAGGTAAAAGAAGAGGTATGGTCACCCAAGAAAAAGGTGACATCTGAGCATTTATTATGAATGGGCATTTTTCTCCTTTTTTCAGTCTGCTTGTGTTATTCCCTGTTTCAGAGGTTTTGTTAGCTTGCTTTAGTTTACCCACAGTTTATCAAACTCTACTGACCTGGTTTGGCTTAAAGCTCTATAACCTTAAGTCCAGATTCTCTACAGTCCCACGATAACATCATACCTCATCTTTTTCCCATGACCCACATCCATCCTGTATGAGCCACGCATCATCACGCACCACATCTATTGTCTCCCCGGTCAACAATGCAAGGGTTAATAACAGGCTAACCTAGAGACATGTAGCTAAAACAACAATAACAAAAACAACAACAACAACTCACAAAGCCCTGGCTCCAAAAAAAGGGGGAAAAAACTGTGACAATGATGCCATCCAGGGAGCACAAGTCGGCCATTGTTGGGGGCTGACACGCCGTATTGTGCCTGGCAGACTACATTGCCTCATAGCAGCTGGGATGTGCTGGCAGGGGAAACAGGCCTGACTGTCATCAGCTGGGGGAGATACAGTGTGATGCAAGCAGCATTACATCACATATGATCCTCCAGGCTGGAGGATCAACAGAGCTGTTTGAGACCTTTGACGGCCTGTAAGAGACTCTATGGGTTCATCTGAGGACTGAAAATACAGAACAATGTCACTCTGAAATCCCTGAAACTTTGTTTTATAAGGTTAATATGAGTTAAAACTGAGGTGTGCGTACTTTACTAAGCCTAACTTTAACTCCTGATTTCACTGCTTCAGATTAGTCCAACATTTGTCCTAAAAACAGATTTTTTTGTGAGCAGATTTTGGGAAGTTACTCCAAATCTCACAGCATTTGAAAATGACTATAACCCTTTAATGCCTTATCATATTTGATAACTACTTTTATGATATTTCTATCAAATCAATATGATCAACAAATTACTAAAAAAAACACCTGAATACAGTCTGATGAGTGATAAAAATGTCCTCTTGTCGTTTATCAGTTCCCAAAGACATCTCTTGTATCAAACGAGATAATATATATATATATATATTTGTTAAATTTTAAGGACATTTTGATTTTTTTGGTTTTCAGCAGTAAGTGAAAGAAACATTTCAGCTCCAAAAAAATTTGAATTTTCTGGCCATAATTTGTGGTTTCAGGCATTTAAAGGGATAAAATCCTGATCTGGTCTTTGGTAAAAAGTTTAACAAATTAAACGCCTGTGTGTCAACTTAAAATGTTGGAAATGCTTCATTCATACAGAAATGCACATCGGGATTAATTGCTCTGTTAGTTACCACTGGCTTTCACAGTGCATTGTGGGGCAGGACAAGTTTACTATTGAGTATAATGAGACTTTAGAGGAGAAGTGAAAAAAAATTGTAGTCAAACGTCACTTTAGGGGGAACATATTTGGTGAACTACAAGAGCTAACCATTGTTGCTGCCAAGCTCCCTTCATTCAAACTAACATTCTTAGTTGTCAGTATTTATTTTCAACAATGGCCTTTGTCATTTTTGTTTTAAAATTCGTTTTTAACAATCTTCACACCACAGAATATTCTAAGATAATCTTCTCAGATTAAATAATCAGTACTTTCCTGAATCAAGCTCAAAATTGGCACGGTTATCTTGTATTGTATGCCCTGCTTAAGCAAATGGCAACTCTTCACAGTGAGTGTTAACTAAGTGTGAAAGATTGTCAGAGGTGGAATTACAATTTGCTGCCAAACATATGCAGACCCTGCATATGTCTGGTGGGTAACTGGTGACTTTTTGGCTCCACACGAATAAACTGGGACTAAACCTAAGAGTGTGAAAGAATAAACATCCTTTCATGTTGCATTTTATGATCAAAGTACTCCAAACTTAAATATTACAGAGAAAGATTTGGATGACAAGTGGATTACCCCAACCCCCCTGCACCTTTTTACGTACTAACTCAATGACAATGCGATTAAGTTTCAGTGGACCCATGTTACAAAAATGCCCCCATTCAAACAAACCTCGCAAAATTCAACATCTACAAGTCACCCATGTCTTCCCATTATCTGCATGCAAACAAAATTAGCTGCAGGGCTGCTCTGTCAGATTTAAACGAATAGAAATGTTGAACTAATCGCTAATCTCTGCACTTACCACACACACACACACACACACGCACACAGACAGATGCACAAAGACACACACTTTTCTCAGGCAGGTCCTAATTGCCTATAAATGTCAGTGTAAGTCAGTGTGCGATTGTCTTGTTGCTAAATTAACTGGTGGGACTGGCACCTCCTCATTAGACAAGAGATACACGACACACACCGGTCAACACTGCTGGTTCCAACCCTGAGCCCCCTCGGGGTTTTATCAAAGAAGAAAAGAGGTGCTGTTCCTGTGTGTGTGTGTGTGTGTGTCTGTGTTTGTGTGTGTGCATATGTCTGTATGTGTGTATACATTTTGTATTCATGCGTTTCTGCTCGTGTGCGCATCTGAGCCCTCCTGAGGGAAATTAGCCGTCTCTACCCAGCTCCGTCTCTACCCAGCTCCGTCTCCAGGTCCGTCCCTGATGTTTTCTCCCTCTGCCAGGACCCTCCCTCTCCCATTGGGCCTCACTGCGGCTAATTGCTAAATACAGTGGCTGTTGTTTCAGATGTTGGCAACAGTCTCTGTAGAAATGACTGCCGTTCTGCCTAATTGGGAAACAATATCCAGACCTGGGTGTTTATAGTTTTTACATGCCGTCTTTTACAGAACAAGAGCTGATCTGTCTGACTTCATTTTAGATGATCACAGATATCAAAGTCTATATTTGTGATAGAAGTGATGTCTTTGGTTCCAGTCCTCTAGCAAATGTTTTCTCGAAATGATCATCCCTGAATTTGATGGAAAGTGCACTTTTGACCCTTGAGGGAAACGAAAAGTTTTGATCTATATCAACATGACAATAAATGTTGGGAAAATTGTGGTATTTGTGAATCCAGTGGTCAAGTCTGAAATCACAATGACATCAGAGGCTTAATCCTCAAGGCTCCCCCAGCACTCCAGAAGCCTTGTCCACTATTGTCACGCTAGAAAGTTACATTTTCTATTCCAAATGACAAATGTTGAAACTTGGCCTTGTGTTTTGGACCCCAAATCTGACCAGCTGAAAGTGAACAGAAGTGTTACTTGGGATCAAACTGGCCAAACCGTATACTCTCACTCAGTTTATGGATGATTTGACGAGACGTAAAAACGTACAAAAGAGGACTACAAGTCAACAATTTCCTCCCCTTCTTTGGTGAACAAAGTTAATGTAGGATAAAGAAGGCGTAACCTTACAGAAAATGTCAATAATCTTCTTGATGCTTTTTCTAATTTCTGATAAAAAGTTAATAACCTTTTCCATACATAATGTTATCCATCCAAACAACAGTGAATATGTGCTATATGATGAGCGTACTGCACATGCCGATATTTTTGATAATTGCCTCAATCCAGTTCTTTCATCAAATACAAATGTCTTCATTTTGTTGATGGGCCATGGCAGATGGCATCCAGTAGAATTTTAGTTTTGAGGCACTCAGAACTCCTATTCTGGTGCTCAGTGATATTTAAGGGTGTCATTTTAAGACTCTTTTGTCACCCAGTTAGGGTCTTTTGGGCTCTGAATTGGTCTCTTAAGGTTGCATTTACAGTCAGCTTCATGCTAACTAATAGGTAAGTGGATTTATCTTTTTGTTGGAGAATCCTGTGAACCTGTTTTCCGTGCGCCTCTTTTTTCATTCCAGGAATTAAGAGTAAGTATAACATTTTCTTTTCCATATGAGGCCAGCAAAGTGAAGGTGTGATTGACTTTCTGGTGCGAACTTTATTTTCCAACTGAAAATGTGTTTTCTGTCATTTCTTGAGTAAAACAAACAGGCATTGAAGGAGTCGCAGCTCCTTGAAGCGTCTGAGTGTGAGAATAGAAGGTTTTGAGGCTCTGCAGCATGTATGAGCCATCTGTTAGACAGTGAATGTGTCTCTGCTTCCCTCACTGTGACAGCACTCTCTGTGAATTACACTGTGACCACCAACTGTCTCTCATACTGCAAACAGGGACGGCTCTGTGTACAGTATGCTGATGGTACACACATTATAGAGGTCAGCCTGTCGCTCATAGACCGAGAAAGACAGAAAGAAAGAAAAGAGGAGAAAAAAAGAAAGAAAGAAAGCAGTGACTCTATTCATACTGTCACATGAGTGTCTCCACTGTGGGTGTGGATGCAGGTGTGTGTTTCGTCTTGTAGGCTGTGTTGTCTTTGTCTTTGTATGAGACACTGAATGAAGACAAAACACATGCACACTCACAAAACCAGGCTGTGTTCACAAGTCTAAACTAGCATGAAAGCAGTTTCTGTGTGTCTTGGTGAGAAAAAAATATAAGATTTTTTTTTTATTATTATTTATGGTAAAATTGGGAGCCATCTATGACTTAAAATCATTTTCTACAAAAAGCAAAGGAACAAAGTTAAAGTAATAGGGTCAATGAGGTAAATAATATGAGTCAATGGTAACATTTAGCAATATCTAGTGATCAGAGTCTAGACTGAAAAGCTCCCCACCAAGCATTTATTGGTCTAAAAGAGGTCTAATAGATGTCTAAATGTAGCCTAGATGACTAGTCTAAAAAAGTTTAGACTAGCCGGCTAACAGAGGTCTAACTGTATATCGCTCAACGGCAATCAAAGTTATTTTGGTTTATTACTTGAAGATCAGTTGTGCAACTCACAGTTGCTTTATGAAATAAATAATTTTTGAATAATGGGTTAAAGTGCAATGTCAAAATCCCATCTAAAATTATACAGAATCTAGACAATTGAAATTAGGTCTAAGTAAAAAAATTGAAGTCTAATAGCCATCTATTGCTCAGCGGGTCCCTTGCTGTTAGTAAAGTCTTGGTCATTATAAAAACTATTTTAAATATCAGAACTGTGTTATCAAAATGCATCTGCTTTGTGTTCAACTATCACCAAGCTCCTCCTCCTTTTTATGCTATGTCTGATTTACTTGTGTTATATATGTATTGTATACCGCATAAAGTTTTTTTTTTCTTTGTCAGTGGTCTTGACTGCACAAAAAAGATCAATGGATCTAAAGAATGACATGTCTTATTTTGATTTATCTACAACTTCTGACTTCTCATAAACAAACCCACGCATAAACACATACTAAATAGCCACAGACAGAAGAGGGGTGGAGTCTTATTCTCTTACTTGAACAACACACAAAGACACAGACGGCACTAATAGGAGTCTCTCTTCCACAGCAGCCTTTTAAATACTGGACAGCAGTGAGACTGTGGGGTGACCCAATCTTATTCTGCTGGTACAACACACACACACACGCACGCATGCACGCACGCACGCACGCACGCACGCACGCACACTTAATCTGCACCCTCTATAGTGTCTTTAAATCTAAAGCTGTTTGTGTGTGTGTATCATAATAAGAGCACAGTAATGCATGTGACCGCTTGCAGCTGATCCTTGCAATCTCATTGCAAATGGAAGAATCATATTCCTGTAACAAAGCAGCTCTTGGTAACGATTATATTTTAAGGTTGTGAGAGAAATTTGACCACTTCTTGTATAATTTCCATTAACAATCAATTCTCCAAACTTTGGATACCAATTTAATGTTTTGTTAGCCCTCTTTCCTTTTTATTGAGAATTTCTGTAAATGCAGCTTTCTCTGGTTTTTCTTTGTCTAGAAAATAACACAGATTTTAAAAAATTAAACAGATAAATAAAAAAATTTGAAAAAAGATTCATTTTAAAGAGTCAAGGAAAACATCTCCAGATTGCTTCATCTATCTAGATAACGGCACAAATAAAGTAAAATAAACAAAAAAAACAAAAAAAAAAACGTTTTTAAAAATCATGTGAATATATTTGATGGGTTGGGTATTACTGTAAATGTTAAGCACTTCATGTCAAATTCGGCCTTAAGACCAGAAAGTTTACTAAAGCTCCCATGAGGAACTTTTTGTTTATGTTAATTTTGGCGCCCCCCTGTGGACAAAGCAGTCTTTGCTTATTTTGTCCTTTAAATGCTGAGAAGTCGTGACTTTTGCTAAAATTGTCATTCTGCTGACTTTTGGCAGTCAATTGTATAATTTTTTTGTGAATATTTTAAGAGGAGTTTTGAAAAATGTCTTTTTCTTTAGCTGTTTGGCTGACATTGACCCCTTGGACTAGTTTCAGGAATTAAAAATCATGATATTTAAATTGTCGGTCTAGTTCCTGATGATTCTGTTTTGCTTTCTGGATGAAAAGTCATCAATATGAATTTTGGTCCAATTCATAAATGTAAAATAAACTTCTTTTTTTTTTCTTTTGACTTAAATCACTCACAAGAATGATGTGAGTGTGCACATGTATGACAGTGGGGTTTGTGTGTTTTAGGGGTGACAGCAGTGTGTGTGCAGCACAATGTTTGTACTGTGGGGGTATACAGACAGATGGCTGGGACACTTGTACGTCTGTGGTTGAACAGTCCACCCATTGTCTGTGTCACAGAGAGAGAGGATTGTTGTGGCGGCCGTCACACTGTAGTGTCTGTAAATCTCACATGTCCTAAACACCAAACCTCTCTCTGACCCTCACACTGATGCTGCTGCATCAACAATAGTCATGTTAACATCTCCTCAAATAATTTATCCACATACCTGATCATCATTTTGATTATAAGTTCCTATTTTTAAAACTAACTTTTGGTTCAAGAGTTGTTTGTATTAACCATACATCTAGTCTTAAATAACACCTATTATCAGTACAGTTTTGAAAGCTATGTCTCAAGTAAGAGGCAAGTGCTACAGTGAGTCAGTCAAAACTAAATGATCTAATTTCTCATGATCATCTAAAATCATCAGAGAAAGTTTGATATTCTTTTTTAGAATTCATGGCTTAACAAATTTAGATGTCTGTAGGTGAATGTGGGTAGACAATACCTCATAAACTCTACTTCCCATTTGCTATCATGTTCAAAGATCTTTTTTTTCACGTTATAAGCTCCTGACATTTCCTGCAGCTCCTGCAACATTGTGATTGTATCTACATCGAGGTGGAGAGTATCTGTCGGTCAGATTGGGAGCAGAAAAGTTTTTTGAGTCATTAGAAAGAGCCTGAATTTCCATGACAGGCAGCATTTACGCAAAAATTGTCTACCTGAGAAAGAGAGGGATCCAAACAACTTGAGAGAGTTTAAACTGCTGTTGTGGATTTAATCAGTCTATATCAGGGGGGAACCTCTCCTATTGCTGCACAAAAGGCTGCAACTTGTCTGATTTCTAGCAGGTTTTAACGCTGACTTTAGCTTCTATTTGTTTTCTGTGAAACTGACACTACTATCACATTTCTGAAGCACTGACTGATGGTCAGTTTTTCCGTCGTGGTAAACATCGCCATCTCCTCATCCAGACATTGTGTGTGTGACATTTTTCCTTTGGTTGTAAGTCGAAATGTTCTAAAAGATATAAACATGAGTTGGGTTGAAGTGATATAACATCCACAGTTGCGCGGTTCTTGCTCTGTGGTTAATTTTTGTGGTTGGTGACAGCCTTAACCAGGGCGGTAATGGGTTAAGCAAAGCTGGCTCTTTAGCAAAAATAAATCAGAGTCAGCAAAACATCACCAGAATCAACGCAACACTCAGACTTCCAGCGCCTCGAATCCAAGATGAGATCTAGCTTTCTAGCCTTAACATGATGTCAAAGTAAAATGGCCGCTGTGTAAGTACGGTCTATTACTTTACATCTCGACAAATTCAAACACACCAGCATGTGACAGAAACAAGCAAACTCTTCAAGATATAAGAGAAGAGAGAAACAAGCAAAAAGAAAAACAGAGCAGAAAAACATCATTCTGCATTTTTTTTGCAGGTTTATTTCCACTGAAAAGAAACAGTCATGTTGCAAGTGACACCTCTCTCTAAAAGTGTACAGATGGGATCCAACACAAAAGAACTTTGAACCAATTATCATAATCTCTCTCTCTCTCACTCTCCTTCTCTCACTCTGTGTTTCTCTCCCTCTGTTTCCCCTCATGATTAAACATGGGAGAGTTAAATCAGACGATTAGCATGCTGTCAGGGAGAAGTCTAACTGCTGTTGTGTTTCACAGTGTGAGAGACAAAGCGCCGGCCTGCACGCCGACAAGCCTCCCTGGCCAGCTACAGTAAACTGGTAAACACACGTCTGTTTGGCCCGGCAGGGGATGACAAACACCCGCCGCGGAGGCAGAGATGAGAGGGCGGGAGGAGCTGAGGAGAGAGGGAGAGAGAGAGTCTGTTTTGACTCTTTGGCTTCTGCGTCTCTTGGCGCCCAGTGTCCAGAAATCTGGGGCCAAACAAGTCGTTGTGAAAGGTCCCGACACGACTGCCAAGAGCAGAACGGATAGAGACAGAAGGAAGGAGGAAGGAGGGGGGTAAAGGGCAGTTTATTTTAAAAAGAGAGATCGGAGGGTGGACTCACCTTCAGTTTGTTTTTCATTTTAAAGCAGTGGGTGGAAGCTCTGTCAAACTAGGTCCAGAAGAGAAAGATCAAATTCAGTATCTTTATCTCCAATCAATGTCACAACAGTGATGTAATAATTTGTGTTTCAGTGAAAACTTTAAGAGTTATACAGGACAGACAAAAATGACACACACTGCAGAGTAGAGGCAATCGATGAAATTGTACTTCAAACTTTGAGTTTAGCTCCCCACAATTATGTCGCCACCATGCAAACAAGGTAGGAAGAAGCAGTAGATGCTAAACAGTATAAAATAGAGACTTGGTACCTTTAAGATGTTGTATTCCAGCTGTGCAAACCATCATATCAAAGAGAGCTGTGTCGCACTGTCAGGGGGAGCAGTAGGAAGAGCAGGTGTGTGTTTGTAAAGCAGAGGGACAGAGTGAGCAGAAGGAGAGAGAGAGAGAGAGAGAGAGAGAGAGAGAGGCTGTAGCAATAACAAGTGTTTACAAGCTTATGTTGGCCAGAATAAACAGTAAGCAGTACTAGGGAACCTCTTGCAAAGGAAATGATTGGTTAAAGCAGGGTGACCATACATCCCCTTTAACCCGGACATGTCCTCTTTTTTGGGGCTGTCCAGCCTGTCCAGGGGAGGTTATAAAATCCTTCAAATGTCCGGGATTTTGTATGGAAGTTTTGAGTTCATGTCATGTGGACTTACTGAGTTAGAAGCATGTAAAAAACACTCGACCCAACCCGAAAAACTCTCAAAATCAACTACGCCCAACTCCGTAACTCCACCCTCGCCCAGTTGTGTCCTCTTTTTGGGGATTCAGAATATGGTCACCCTAGTTAAGAGACAATGACAAAAATAGATTTTGCTTGTTGTGGATCCGATTAGAGCCAGTTGTTTTGTCATCAAGTCTTTATGAACAGAACTCTTCTTATGGCTGTGTTTTTTTTTTTCACTATTATTATCAACTTTGTCATAATCCTTTAAAAATATATTTTAACTCTAATAATCATATTGTTTATTTTAGTTCACCTCTTCCTGTTTGCACAGTGGCAAAACATGAGTTTCTGTCTCTGACTGGTCACGGTTTACCAGGATGTGAAGGGAGCCTGAGGGGGAACTGAAAAACTACATTTTAAAATCATATTTTAAATACATTTGACCAGTTATTTATCACATTTTAATTGGTGAAACTCACTATTTACATACATAGCTGAATTTCAAGAGGACAAGGACAAGACAAGTTCTCCCGACTTTCTTTTCATAAAGGATGGATGTGGATCATGATGAGATGAAAAAAGGTGTTGCTCCCTATAACTAAAATAATGTATTTTATCTTCATGACTTTCCAGTGAAAAGTGAGCAGGTAAAAGTTCTGGTTCCTTTCAGTGTTAACAAACGTCACGTCTCTGCGCTCCTGTATGCAAACATTCATGCACTCCTGTTTTCTGCTCCCTCATTCAGTGACATTTGGAGGTCATTGGCGTGTGTTGATACCTGTCTGCTGAAAGACGTCTCCCCGAAGCTCCGATCGTCCTGGCCGCGAGCCCGCAGGACCGCATTTCACCGTGCTGTGTAACCATGCCGACAGGATTGGGCCGGGGTCCAGGAAGACTGCAGGCTCTGGAAGCTGTCAGCAGCAGCTCCGTTTGACAGCATGCTAATATATGCAAATGAAGAGGTCCAGCCATGACACCTGCACACAGGAGGACTGGACCATAACCTTCCCAGCAGAGGACTCGGGATGGTGGGTGCACTGCCCAACAGACACACACACACAGACACACACTTAGTCACACTGCAAGGTTTCTGTGCTAGAAATACTTAAAAATGTTACAGACTTCTCTTTAACATTTTAAAGGATTTTAAACTCCTCCTTTTTTACAGAAAGAAATCACTATCATCCCTGTTTTCTGAGGACATCATCCCTCCTACATCAGACTACCACTTTGCCATCTCTAAACCATACACAGTATAAGCCTTAGTCTTCACAAGACTGTCCCGGCCAAGAATAGATGAAGTATTTTCAAAAAAAGTTATAAACATACATCAGGCTATTTACAAAATATGTCAACATATAATTAAAGTTATCTGTCAAAGCATTTACAGTCTAATGCATCTTCCTCCAACACCTCCATTCACCTTAAATAAACATTAAAAGACTCACTCTCTCAGACCCAAACCCTCCTGCAGCTCATCCCAAGCGGTAGGTGCGTTTATGTCCACAATGAAAATGTGATCAGCTCAAAACATCTCCTGGAATTGTGTCTGTTTATCTGAATCTCAGTTTAACAGTAGGCTGCTGTAGACATCTGATTCATTCTGGCTTACTTTAGAGCTGTTTTCTTGTAATTTCCTTAAGAGTTTAAGGTTTTTTGTTAGCGTCTATCATCTGTCTTCCACTTTCGAGGAAATTTGGACTTCAATGGGCCTTTAAAAAAAGGTGAGCATATTTGATTAATAGCTTGATTTCTGTTTATTAAGATGTCTATATCATCATCCCTTTCCATCCCAAACTTGAATTTTCTCTGAATGCAATAAAAAATTCAGACATGTAGAAATCTGTAAATAGAGGTTACTACTCTGAAGGTATATAAGGCTCTCTGAACAGTGTCTGTGTTTACCGTATTTATCCAGTAACCTTTTTATTTTCTGAAAACATCTGAAAATATGAGATATTAGAGTTTTAGAAAATCTGACAGATTATTGTTTAAAATTTCAGCTGTAGATATAGAACAGTACAATATATCTCCTTCTTTTATCCTTCAATCCTTCTAAAATGACAGTAATCTGTGATGATGAGTTTATAATTTTAAGTAAAAGAGTGATATTTCTGTTGTTACTGGCTATGTTAGATGGATGCTTCCATCTTTGCTACATTATGTGATAGCTATGAGGGCATAAAACAAATATAGTGTAGCCTTATTATTATTATTATTATTATCATAATTATCATCGTAATTTCCAATTAAAATGCTTTCTGTACAAAAACGAGATTGGATCTTTGAAAAGTATTTTCCTAAAATTTCATCCAGGAAAGAGGGGGCGGTCTCATATTCAGAGTTGTCTTACATTTAGTTAAATATGGTGAATTCAGTAGGAAAAGCCGAATAAAAAACAGCTGTTTTTTAAGAAAAT